TAGATTGATAGCGACCACAGGAGGTAATAAGTTACTCGTGGTCGAGGAAGAGGAATGGAAGACTGGGAAATTTTCCTTCGTCCGAAGTAGGCTAAAAAATAATCCTGCATGGAGGATCGAAACGAGATAGAGTCACTAGAGGTTCACCCAAGGAATCCAGAAATGGGGTAAAAGAGAGCGTGATAAACCTCAGATGGCTCATGAAGCCTTCGTGACAAGGGGCAAAGCAAAGGACCAAAGTGGCACGTATCCTCCCCCCCCAATTCCCCACCAAAAAAAAAAAGTTTTTATTCTTATAAGTACGCACCTGTGTCCTGAACGCCATGTGACCCCGCAACGCAGATGGAAATGGAAACGGCTCACCCGATATGCCTACATGCATATGAAGAAACGATGCCTCGTGGCGTTGTCCAGCGATCGATCGTCGGCCGTCGGCAGACTAGGTCTTGAAGCCGTTCCTAACCCCGAAAGCGGCTCGGGTGCTCCGAGCACATGTATTTAAATATTGTGGAGTCTCTAGATTGCCATTCGCGCGCAAGGGTTGCTTCGTCGTCGCCTGGAAGCCTATGAGCCTAGAAGAGAATTTTCTGGAACGGAGGTAAGTCGATGCGAACCCAGTCCGTTTCATTGAGGCTTCTCTGAGGCGGATGAGCGTCATCGATGCGTCTTGTCTTCGAGACACACCCCAAAGTAAAACATAAAAAAAATTTAAAGAACGTCACGTTCTTTAAAAGATAATTTAAAAGACCCCAGGTGAGAGGAGGGTGGGTGGGGGAGGGGCCAGTAACGCATCCTGCCTTCGACAGGGGTCACTGTCCCCCCCCCCCACCGCCCAAATCCCGTCCAATGTGGCATCCACCCTCGGATGGGGGAGTGCGGCTGACGCCCACGTACTCGGTGGCCATATGGAGAGGGGGTGAGACTCCATGGGGCCAAGTGCGGTTTTCGGGTTGACGCGATTCGCGTGTGAGGTGTTTCACTGTGGTCCAATTCGGGGGTCGATGGGGTTGCCTGAATCGGGTGAGTGCTCCGAGGCCTTGGACGATTTCCAGGGGCAAGACGGACGGAGGCGGTGGGGGTGAGGGATAGGTCGAGAGTATATTATGGTTAAGTGCGTACTCCCTAGGGATATTGTGGTCCTCCTTAAGTTAGGCCAGGTTAGGGTAAGTTAGGGGTGTTAGTGTGCATTATATATTGAAGGTTATATATTAAAAAAGTGGCCATTCTATATACCAATCTCTACCCCATTGATGTTATTTTCCTATTGGAATCCAAGCTTGATCCCATCATTCTGGAAACTTCCTTATCTGCCCGGCGGGGGGCAGCGGGAAACAACAAACTTGCAAAGACAAATAAACATGGTGGGGGAATTATCCCTTTCATCCTTATATCAATAAGCTTCAAACATATTCCAATCCCTCTAGAATCACCCATTTAACAATCTTGAACACCTGTGTATGCAAATCAACAGTAGTGCGATAAAAAAGGTTACTCTATGTCCAATTTACCATCCTCCTTATGCCCTCACCCAAACTTGCTCAGCACTGCACACTCTTGTTTGGGTCAATCCCATCCCACGACTTCATCCTATTGAGCAATGTAAACTGCAATTTATTTGATATTTGCACCCCAGGGTTCAAACACCTAGGTGACAGTTGCAAGGCCCAAAATCTTAAACAACTCATGCAATTATCCACAAGAATAATTGATAAAACTTCTACCCTCATTAACCACATCTACACTAACTACCTACCCAGTATAAAACAACACTGCATCATTCCTTCCTCTATCAGTGATCACAATCTTTGTCTCCCTTAATCTCAATAATATTCAAACCTGCCACCATGAAAAATTCCTATCTGCTTCCAACTCACCATCCATTACTACCTATAGACCTTGGGATCTCTGCCACTCAAAGTTGATTGAGGATGTATGAAACCACCATTGTAAATCTCTGCCACACTCCAGACCCTAATGAGGTAGCTGAAAAAATCAACACTAACCTGCATTCCCTCATTGTCACAACCAAACCAGTATTCTTAAGGTGTAGCTTAAATAAAAAAACCCTTCATCACAAAATGCATCTGTAAAATAATTAAGGAACGTAACTACTTCCACAAACTTGAGATTAAAACTGGTTCCCCAGACTACTGGAATGTATTTAAATACTGCAGTTAGAAAAACCATTAAGTAAGAAAAATACTCCTACTATCAAAGTTTAATCAAGAAAAAGGGAAACAACCCTCATCAGTTATGGACTTGCCTTAAATCTGCCATGGGCCTCACAAAACAAACATTAGAACTCCCCTTGTCTCCAAATGAGCTCAATACCTACTTCAATCAAGTAGCCTTTAACCTTGTAGAACACATCCCCAATATCCCCCTCCTCCACCTATCCCTCACGCTAAATTGCTAAAGTAATCCCTATCCATAAGAATGGTGACCCCTGTGACCCTTCCAACTACCATCCCATATCTCTACTACCAACCATTTGCAAAATCCTTGAGAGGGATGTATTCAATCACCTTCACCAATTCTTCCTAAACATCAACATTCCCCCACCAATCAGGCTTTAAAAAGTATCAGTCTACATGCTCAGCTCTCATCAACTTCACTGACAACACCCTAAAAGCCATGGACTTAGGATATGTCACAGGAGCAGTCCTTGTAAATTTCAATAAAGCATTTGATACTGTAGACCATAACATTCTCATTAGCAAATTGGTAATGTATGGATGTTCCTCTCATACTCCCTCACTCTTCACTTCCTACCTTTCTGACAGACAACAAGTTACTCAAATTCAAGGGAGTAGCACCACCTCTGACCCTCTCCTAAATTTTAATATAGGTGTCCCACAAGGTTCAATTCTTGGCCCATTACTTTTCATCCTATACATAAATGACCTCATGAATATTAAAAAAGCTAAAGTTGATATATGCAGATGACACCACAATTTACTTTTCACATCCAAATCCCCTGGTTGTTAAGAAGACCCTCCAAATTGAACTTCTCAATCTCCAAAACTGGGTTAGCAAAAATAAAATGCTTTTAAATGTCAGTAAGACCCACTCCATACTTCTAGCCTGCCTAAACAAGCTTGAATCATCCTCTATAAAAGACCTACATGGCTTTACTTTAAACTCTGAGCCCATCCAATCACTTCGAAAAGTCAAACTCCTGGGACTAACCCTAGATGCTCACCTTTCATATAAAGAACATTGCTTCTCCATCATTAAAAAAAATCAATTAAAATCTGTATCTCATTCTATCTATATCTCCTTGAATCTAACCTAAAGATATCCAATTACTTTCTAATGCCCTCATACTCCCCCACATCTCATATTGTCTCCCAGTATGTAGTAGTAGTAGTAGTGCTTCTTGCTCAGCATGTGACTTATCGGCGCTGCTTTAAAAAAAGTGGACTGACTCTACTTTGATAATGTTGCACATTTTGTAGCTGCCTCCCAATGTACAAAACTGAACACACCCTATCTTCAAGTTTTCACATCTCCCACTCACCAGCACAATACAGGCTTTGCTGTTGATAAAAAACCATGCATTCCCTCTGGTACAACTCTTTCCCTTTCATTGTTCTTTCCACTACAGAGCTACAGAATTTTGAAACTCACTCCCTGTTAATACTTGTAACATTCCTGCCCATGACAAATTTAAATACAGTCTAAAATACACCTTAAAACCTTTCATTAATTATCATAGTCTCATATTTATTTATATATACTGTGGTGGATCCCCATAATGAGATCCTCCTCGCATTGGTGGCTCTCTTCCCAGGGATGACCAGGGATGAATTCATTTCTTTGTACTGTCTTATTTGCTGTCTAATTTATTTCTGCCCCAATAAAAAACATTATTACAATTATAGTAAGGAATCCTGATCAATGTAACATGTTTCCAATTGAATTCAACTGTAAAAATTTTGAGACTGAAGGAGTGCAATTTTAGTAAGGGGTACGTGCTTAACTGTTAGGTGGGATATTGCAATCAAGTGGTATTGAGAGTCAAATGCATGCATGTCTGATATGAAGCGAGGGAAATTGACCTCAACATCATTTAAGCACAGGCCAAGCCATGATCAAGCAATCTAGAGTGAAATGTTGCTTAATCTGTAGGAGCGTTCAAAGGGTGATCCAGGAGGCTGAATTGATAGATTGTGTGAAATAAACGTGTTATCCCATGTGAGATTTCACAGCAGTCTAATCACAGGCATGGAGGGTCATCACATGCATCATGGTTCTATGATGAACAGCAGTGATATTTTATCTTTGGGAATGATGAATGCGACTGCTATGATGAATGGTTCTCAGGCTTCTGGTTGTGGAGGTTGCCACACCATGGACCATGGACACTCTCACAGCATGCACGACATGCAGAGGGAATCACATGATGGCCACACAGGGATGAGCATGGACATGATGCCAATGGTTGGTTGCTGTTCCTTCCTGTGTCAATTCTTTCAGCTTGTTTTGCAGTTGCATCAGTCATTGAGGTTTTTCATTCCAGTATTTCCATTTCTCCAAGAGTGCCACCATTTTGTTTGAGAAGTGGGCAATAAACAATGCAGGTGGCCTCATAGGATCCATGATTGCCATATTCCTGATGGCAGTTATCTATGAAGGCCTGAAATACTACAGGTGAGTCTATATAACATCTCATATATAACATCTGACCAATAAGACCTTCAGTAACTTGCTTTGTGCTTTTCCACAAGGGATTATCTGTTTCGAAGGGCATCCAATGCCATTGTAGGCTCAGTGAGTTCGACGGAGTCCAAGGGCATTGTCGTTCAACCGGCATCATCTGCAGAGTGAGCAATGTTTTCTGTAATTCTGTTCATGCAATTTGCATGGTAAAAAGATGTTTCATTTGCATAATATGTTATTCACTCCTTTGTGAGTCAAAAGCAGCTTTGTACGTATACCAAATGAATGTTTGGAAAGCGATAAATGTGATGGAGAACACGAATTTGTATTATGTGGGTTTTAGAAGGAGCCTTGCATCCTTTGATTTTTTTCTGGTGTTTGTAGTCATTCCATCGTCTCTGGTTGGACATAACTAGTTTTGAATTCTAACATGGTGTTTCTTATCTATTTATTTTGATAATTTCAAGCATGAAAACTATGTGTGGAACAAGTTTCTTTCTTTGGGCTTTGCTTATATTTCACACCTAATCTGATTTATCATACCCAAATTGTGGGATAATTATTGATGCAGGCTATTCTACTAGACTGATCAAAAAAGGAATGGATCATTCACTGCAACTCAAGTAACACTTGTCAAAATTGTTGGCCACTCTGCAGGCATCAACTATGTTCACTTTGCAACTCATAATAAACATGTCCATGATCTTTCGTTTAAGGAACTCTGTTGGTGATAAAAAGAATTGCCATGGTCAGTACCTTTCAGTGGATTTTACTGGAATGACAGCACAGGAGCAAAGTGCAAAGGTGAAGCTTTGAAAATCATTCACTGAGACTCTTGAGCTTTTGCAGCAAATGTACCTATGTACAGCAGGTACTTTCTGCAAATATCTGTGATTACATCTTTTACAAAAGCTTGAGAGTCTCAGTTGCAGTTGCAGCAGTGCAAACAATCAGAGACCTCTGATTCCAATGGGCACAGTAGAAATTTCACACTTGTAGGGTTCCAGTTCCAGTTAATCATTACAAAACTTTCACACCTTTTGGTTTTTTTTTGTGATCCATGATTGGCAAATGAACTCAGCACCTTCTCTCAACTCTCACACTTCTCGGAAAGTGAAGATGCAGTCCACAAATCTCAATTTTTCCAAGTCACCACAAGCCATTTGGGAAAGATAAAGATGTTGTTAGAATAGTATATAGGTGTGCTTTACAGTGTTATATCATATGTATGTGTAGCACTTTTGGTTTGGGCTGTGAATGGGGGCTCTATTCATGGGACACCCTGTTGAAGCCCATGTCATAGTTTGTTTTGGAATTTGATGGTGTATCAGTTTTTTCTTGCAGCTTTGCTCTTCTTATTTGCAAGCATTGCTGCCTCTGCCGTCTGCTATTGCTATCTCTTTGCTGTCAGAAAACAGAAACTATGCAAGAATATCAACATAAAACCTTAAGAATGAATGATTGGATGAGCAACTGCTTGTGGATTTGTGTCACAAATTTTGTGGTGGTGGTGTGCTGGTTATACATTTTTTTTCACATCACCCTGACACCTATGCATGTGTGTTGAAGTCAAGTGAAAAAGTGTCAGATTTGAGTGGAAAACACTGAATGAGGGCTTGAGCTGATAACATGCACTTCTGCTTGGTTTTTTTCTTGCTTCACAGGAATTTTGATGCCATCCCAGTTGCTGTTACAGCCATTCAGTAAGTTTCAGCATTCATGTTTGCTTCACAGCAAAAGCTTAAATGCATACTCTAGAGATTCAAAACATCAACAATGATTCCTGTATTTGATACCAGGTTTATATATATTTTGTTAAGTTTATAAGCTTCGGTGCTTTGCTTCCTGAAGGCTACTGATACTATGACACATTCGCAGCTTGATTTTATATTGCACAATGTGGATTTAAAGAACTATCAGTTCAATTGCTAAATGGCCTCTGTTGACCATGTTTGTCTCTGGCAATGCATGCTATTGCTTTAGGGCACCAAGCATTAACTGCTATCATTCAGACAGGCAGTTAAAAGGGTTGCATAATGGGCAGTGCTTCATGTTTTCCATCACAGCTACCTTAAAGTTTTCAAAAGTATTTTCTTTTCATTCATTCATGCAATATGGGGTGCACATTTTTTATGTTTCTCCCACTTAGAACACGAATGCTTGGTCAGCATCATCTCCTGCAGACCTTTCTCCACGTGATTCAGTTCACTCTCAGCTACTTCCTCATGCTCATTTTTATGACTTACAATACCTGGCTTTGCATCGCTGTTGTCCTTGGAGCGGGCGTCGGATACTTCATCTTCGGCTGGAGAAAATCTGTAGTCGTGGATATCACAGAGCACTGTCACTGACTATCTAACTGTGGTGTTGGGTAAGTTCAAGAATTAGATTGCAGAATTATGTATGTTTGTATTCTTGTGAACATTCTGCTGCCTTTGGGACCAATCGAAGGTCACGGCATTTGGATGGTGAATTATGTGTCTCCGGTGTCCCTGTCTCTGTCACTTTCTTCATCTTTTGCTCTTTCTGACAACTCCCATGGTATGTTGAATGCAATGGAGTGCTATCAAAACAATATTATCTGTTACTCAATAGTCAAATGTAGTCCATCATGTTCTTTGTTTAGTCCTGTGGTATCTTTGAGTGCTTTACAGATGGGAATGACTTTGTCATAAGATTACATGTGCAATTCTTGAAAATGAAAATTCAGATGAAATTTTTCTGAAAAAAATCATCTATTGTGTGTATTGCAGGCCATCCAAAGGCCATTTTCCTAAAAAGGAAAGAAATCAGTGGTCGTGTATTGATGACCATCCGAAGGCTGTTTTCTTGACTACATCTGTGTGCTTTCAGGATGACTGCTGTGGTAATGCACAAAGAGGGCATGACTTGCAGAGCAGAAATTTAACAGTATGAATTCCTGTGATCATATCCATTTCGTTTTGATTGAGAACTGCCAAGATTAGAAGTGTGACATTAGGAAAATTGCACCCAGTTGCCTGTAGCCCAAGTTTATCTTGGCATCTGTATTTCCCCATTTGATTTATGCAGTTCAAACTTTAATTTTCTTGTTTTTCAATTCAGTTACTGTCTTTTGTGTTTCTGATAGAGTACATAAGCATAGGCCAAAGCTAAAGGGCATTGTTTTGCAAGATTATTGAATGTGCCTCCATGTAGTATGGTTTTGCAGCTATATGATTTTTGCTGTAAATCTTGTGAATTAAAGAATTACTGTACCAAAGATGGGTAGGTCTTCTTTGCTGCATGAAACTGTTGTTCCCACTGCTTAGCTCTTGTGATGAAGGGCAGATGTTGAATGTGCTGTCATCATTGGGTTTGGTTCTATGGTGCAGAAGTCAATATTTTTGTGGCAATAAATGATTTATTAATCAGTCTTGCATAATAATTCATTTATGTGAAATCCTTTCATATTGCCATCCTGTGGAGTTGGCATGAATTCTCTTCAGGAAGTCAGTATGGTTTTGCAGTCTTTTTCAGTTTAATTTAACTCTCTTTCCTTAAGATGTACAGATTTTCATTTGACTAAAAAAAAAACAAAAACATGGAACTCAAGGAAGAAAATGTATTTTGAGAAATCCAGCCTGCATAGAACCTGCTTGAGCCAAGTACAAAGTTTCAACCCCATTTGGAAAACATCAAGGATGAATTCTATAAAATTGGATGTTAAGTACTCCTACTCCAGTTTTCAGAGTAGAAGAAAAATTTTGTCTGCAGGATTATACTTGAGTTTGAATAAACCTTCCATCGATGCATTTTGCAGCCCAAGTTCATGACGGAATTTCAGTGATGACTTGTACTAGATCATGACTGACACAAGAGATCAACATATTCCATCTCTTGATGATGTTTTTTTTCTTCACATCCCTCAGAATCTGTACAGATTCGTGCACTCAATAATGGAAATGAATGTCGGGAAATTTAATAAAATCTCGGGGCATGGACTTTCAAGGACAAGTTGGGCAAGCCCAGTCCGATAGCGGAGCTTCTTACAATGAATATTGAGAACAGGAGGATGTGGCACGTAGGTGAAGGGATGGAAGATTACAACGTGCAGCACTGCCAGATGGGTTCATCTAGCTAACAACCCTGTCTACTCCGCCATGTACCGAGCCTTTCAGTCTGTTAACCAGGGAAGTTATTGCTACGAAGGCTTCAAGGGAATCGCGGATTCAGACCTGGGCCTATCCACGCCAAGTGGTCCTGGAATTTTAGCCGGAAATTTTCCTAAATATGCAAATTTCACTTTTGTTACAGAAGTTCATCTCTTTTCCTAGAAGGCATGAGCGAAAGAGAATATTACATTGAAAAATGATGGAATTAGGCATAATTATTATAAATTATTCATACCACTCATGATACTCAAAAATGTGATGAAAATGCACATCTGGAGAGACTGAATGGAAGAGATCTCAGCATGGGCTTTCCATGCATACTGATGATTCCAAATCAGCTCAGGTATGAAGAGTAGATGTCAATTGTTCACATTTGAATGATATCTTTAAAATAATTATATATATATATACATGTATATGATGTATATATCAAAATATATGATGATATATATTGCCTAAGGCAGTGCTGGGCACTTCACCGATAAAGGGCGGATGAATGGGGGCTCTATTCATGGGACACCCTGTTGAAGCCCATGTCATAGTTTGTTTTGGAATTTGATGGTGTATCAGTTTTTTCTTGCAGCTTTGCTCTTCTTATTTGCAAGCATTGCTGCCTCTGC